GAAAGAAACAATGCAAAAATAGTGATTTTTTTGCAAATTTGAGACGTCCCCCGTTGCCATGGTAACAGGAAATTTAAGATACAGAGGCTATGGTTCAGTCAACATTAAATTTTGTGCCAAATTTCATCAGTATTGAAACATTTTTCATAGTTTTATTGCAGTTTGAACTTGTAACAGGAGGCTTTGCAATGAAAACGGCCATTTTTCACAATATGCTCATGCGGTAAAAGGTGAATTCTTTAAAACTTGAATAGCCGCCGTCTATATATATTTTCTTTTGAAATGAATGTATTGCCTAATTATTTGATTCGTGTTAATTGAAGGCTTGGAATATGACGCATGTTCCTTTATAATATCATGGACTGGCTCTTTGACACAAAATCGTCTGCGAATATTTGTTTTTTTGTTTCAGTTGCGTTCTAGGGACTACCTTTTCCTTTTTTTAAGACAAAATGAAACGAAATATCTTATACTTCTGTGACATGGTTTCTAAAATGTAATCTTTCTTACAATTTTGTTTAAAAATAGATATATGATCTGATAATTGATTGGCAAAGTGCTTTATTACCTAAGTGCATTTCTACTGCATATGCAGAATTTTGATCACCAGATTGTCGTTCAGCGGATGGTGCAACCAATGCTTCCAGTGTGCTTTAAAAGTACAAAAATATATATTGTCAACAGCATACTGACAAAAATCACCCAAGTTTAGTCAAGTACTATTGATTTTTATTTTGTAAAGTCGGAAAATACAACATTTAATAATACAACCTCTTTTTACTTTTTTTTATTTCAGAGCTGACACGTAGCATAAAATTGATCATTTATTTTTAGATCTTTTTTTTATGTTTTTCATTTATTATTTTATCTTTTTTTATTATTTCTTCTTATTATTTTTTAACGAAAATATGAATTTCTAGACAGACTCCAAGACAGCCGGAAAAGTCATAAATTTCCTAAATTGATTTCATTTTGTTTAACACTATCTTTATTGTATATATGATAAAAGACACTAGAAGGAAACAAAACAGTAATATTCACCTGTCTTGCTTTATCTGTGTAACAGAGTAGACAACTATGGCAGTCACAATTAGTAAGCTGATGACCATAAGTTTAACACATCCTCCTGAAACCTGTAAAGCAAAAAAAAACCTATGTACGAATATAACAGTTTTCTGATTATTCCAACACTTGTTTTCACATATGCTTAAGATGGATTGGTCTACAATGGTCACATGATCAACAAGTATTTCAAATATTTTTCAAAACAATATAAACATGCCATATGGATATTCTTACAAAGCATTTCTTGACTAAAAAAATGTTGATCGAGTTCGAAGTCATTTAGTATGGAAATATTTGTAAGATGTATAATTATATTTCGTTCTAGAATATATTTTTAACTGCTATATAAAGATATGTAATATCACATCATGTATCTCACATCTACCAACGACAGACATATATAATTTTCTCATATGAGCCGCGTCACGACAAAACCAACATAGTGGGTTTGCGAACAGCATGGATCCAGACCAGCCTGCTCATCCGCGCCGTCTGATCAGGATCCATGCTGTTCGCTTACCAACTCTATTACAAGTGGAGAAACTGACAGCGAACATCATGGATCCTGATCAGACGGCGCGGATGAGCAGGCTGGTCTGGATCCATGCTGTTCGCAAACCCACTATGTTGGTTTTGTCGTGACGCGGCTCATATAGTTTTTGTCACGTATTATACTAAATGCTATCAACATGCATAATTTTTTATGGTATTACATACGTTTTATTATGTATCATTCCACTTTAAAACCTCTACTCGACTAAAAATCCCTCAGAAAAAAAATAAAACCAAAGAACGTTTATTCATTACTTACAAAGTTTGGACATTTATGTTTCGACATTCTCTGGAAGATAGATGGATGTCTGTTCAAACGTTCGTACTGACGTTGTAACGCTCCATTTTGATCTTGCAAAGTTGTATTCTGTACAAAAATTTCGCTTGGTCTAGCATCTGATGCCATTTTTCTTTCCTATGGTTGCTTATTTTACTCCAAAATAACACTCATCGTTAATATAAAGCTTTAAACTGTTCTATTTTAGAGGACACGGTTATGGAAAGTCGCCCTACGTGATAACTTTCGACAAATCAGAGGCATACAAGGAAATATTTTTAAACTAAAAAATGTTTAGAGACAATTCATTGTAAATAACACCTTTTTTTCTTTTTAAAAGTTACTATACACCTAATTTGAAACCTTTTGTAGAGTATCTTGTTAATCAGGGAAGTTCTTTTTAAAGGTTTTGTATCAGCGACAGTTTACAAAAGCATAAATCCATAGCATTGGTTACTTGCTTGTAAGATGATGAATTAATTTCCTATTGCATTGATGTGTACGTGACTATAAAATAACTATTTTCATATTTTGAATAAAAGAATAAAAAAATAAATCAATAAAATAATTTTTATTTCATGTAACGATCTTCATTAAATGGTGGATAATAAGAGAAAGATGAAGTACACAATTGAGCCGCGTCACAACAAAACCGACATAATGGGTTCGCGACCAGCATGGATCCAGACCAGCCTGCGCATCCACGCAGTCTGATCAGGATCCATGCTGTTCGCTGTCAGTTTCTCCACTTGTAATAGAGTTGGTAGGCGAACAGCATGGATCCTGATCAGACTGTGCGGATGCGCAGGCTGGTCTGGATCCATACTGGTCGCAATCCCACTATGTTGGTTTTGTCATGACGCGGCTCAAATACATGTATGTGGCGCCGTTATATGTCGCAACGCCGTTAAATGTCGCACTTACCGCTAAATGTCGCACCATTGCCGCTAAATGTCGCAACCGCCGCTAAATGTCCCACAATCATTTGCCGCTAAATGTCGCAATGTTAACGTTAAATGTCGCAAGAATTTCCCATACCGTTAAATGTCGTACTGCCGTTAAATGTCGCAAGATGTAAATTCAACACATGCTTTTTCGTGGTTTATCAGAAATATATCAGTGAAAATTAAAACTGGTAATTTCACTGTTTTCAAAACAGTAATACCACTTTGACTAATTTCACTGTTTTGAATTTAACCCCTTTACGTTGTTTTTAAGTGAATATCCACGTACACAGAAACTGGGTACAAACTTTACGTGACGTTCGTAAATGACGTCACGTTGTTTATTTTTTGCGCGCTTTTCATTCAGTATTAGGTTTTAATGTCTTTTAAAACGTTTCTTTGCATGTAATAAAAAGAAAATTTGTTTAGTTTAGTGTAAGATCGAAATATATTTCACCTTGTGAACACCAAAAGTTCATATTTCACTCGTGGCTGCGCCACTCGTGAAATATACCTTTTGGTGCTCACTCGGTGAAATATATTCCGATCTTACACTGAACAAAACAAATATCCTCTATATTATTTTACTTTTTAACGCTCACATAGTTATTTTTTTACTGTAATTGCCATTTAACAAAAGTATCTTTGTTTTAATGAACTTAAATATCGAGGTTTTGAGCTGCTATATACTAGTAAGTAATCTTGACGCTAGAAAGCTTATTCTAAAAAGATAAATTGAAATTAATTAAGTATTTTTCTTTTTTTCTCCCTTTTTTTCATTTTTATAACCCGATTGGCCCAAACAACCTTTTTAAAAGGTATTTATGATATTGGTCCGCTACAGAATTCGGTTTAAGTTAATTTCATTGATTTGAAGACCTTTTTTTTTTGCCTAATTGATAATTTGAATCACTTAGGATAACACTTAGCAATATTTAAGCCCCGCCTATAAAGTAAGCACGAAATGTCTGATAAAGCGTTTATCCATCCTGATTGACTACATAGTGTAGTGGGAAGATCAGTGTCCCTTGAATGTGGAATGTCAATGATTAAATAGTGCCAATATGCTTAATCCTCCTTATAAAAATATAATGTATGTCTAAAAAATGGAAAAATATTTTAAAGTCCTTCAGGAACATATTGGGGAAATGACAAAAAATAAACCCGGACTGGGGCTGTCAATTGAAGAATTTTCAAACTATCACTTATTGTTATATATCACAATGAATCGGAAACTATATACCATATAAAATTGATAACGCAAATAGCTTGTACGTAACAGCGATTTAAAAAAGCATGGCAACGCACACCGGCGCAGTATAAATTTGCGCTGACGTTTAAGCGCTTGAGTTTAAACTCTTTTATTTTTACGCTATATCGTCACAGTATTTTTGCAATGACCTGTATATTTTGGCTCCTCTCCTAACAAGTCATTTAATAGGTTAAAGATCAAAATCTAGGGAAATATGCCTATTTGGATATTAAATCTGCATTCATCCTTTGCAGGAACATTAATTGCTTGAATAAATAAACATTTGCCATTTTAAAGGATCGGGTTGCACTATTTTCATTTTCAACGTCAAAAAATAATTTCTAAAACAATTTTATAGATAATCCCGTTCAAATCGCAGTAGTTTAAACGTATGAACTTTTCTGTTATTAGGGTTAGGATTTTGATTTTTCTTAACATTATAAACATGTGAGTTAAAATTTAGGTTTTACATATTAAGTGATTGGGGAAATCGATGCCGAAAATAAACCAATCCGAAAATTCCTCAAGCATAATTTGCACAAAATTCATTGGGGGTCCTTTAGTGTGAGCAATCAAGTTTTGCAGTTTTCCCTTACTAAATGCAAAAGAAAAAAAAAAGAAAAGAAAAATTAGTAATAAAAATATTATGATAATTTAATAAAAAGAAAAATAAACAATATGAATCGCCCAATGGGTATTTGATGCGATTGCTCAACGGGGTTTCGTCGTCTCAATGTTAATGTGTTTTAGGTTGGAGGTTTTGAATTTTTACATTTTAAAGGTGATCAAATTGGTAATTAACGGCATGCTAATGGGGAGGAATAGCATTTCTGAGAAATTTCTTTTGAGAAATTTTCTTTTCAAAAGAATTCGTACCAAATGGAATTGTTGCATGCATATGTCTGTTAGGCATAATAAAAAATGAATCTATTAAATATTAATACTGCTGAGAAATAAGAATTTTTCAAATAGACAAAATATATGGATCCATGAAGAATAATGAACGTGTAATGAACGACTAACCACAATAGGCATCCGAGGCTTCCCTCCGTAATACCATTAAGCATTTCTTCAGATATTCAACCGGAAGTAGAAAGAGTAGTTAATTATCAATTAGTTTCGTCACCCTCGGCATAGTACAGAAAATTGGAAATTTGAGTGATGTGTTAATTTTCGGTTCTGTTAAGTTTTAATATAGCCACGCCATTTATAAATGGCTACCTGCTTTTTGCAACAATACGCACGTCACTAACGTTGTTTGCATTGCCTCAATTACATAATGAAAACTATATAGCCTTGTTTATAATACGGAGCAATTCAATTGTGTGACAGAAGCCATATCGAGGTTTGAAGATACTAGTTGTGACTAGAGATTCAACGTTAACTTACGTAAAAAATTAACAATTACTTACGAAATATTTATACCTTCAGTTTGAAGAAATTCTCAAAAAATATTTTTTCGTCACGCGTTACTGACAATATCCAAGTTTCCATCTTATAACAACTTACTAAAAAAGTACATGTTTGGCGCTACAATGATATATTTATTAATTAACTATAGGCAAAATGTCCGTTTTTTTACCGCACAGACATGATCTAGAGTGTATTGGTAGCTTAAACGACAAAATAGAAAAGGAAACGTATTGATAATATACAACTTGTATCTTTTAATAGATATCCCAAATACAAACGATAAGGCATTTTCATGTCATTTAATTTAAAGCAGCATGTAAAGTTTTCATGAAAATTTTGATTTTTTAAAAAAAGTAAAATATTGTCGAGTGAACAAAGAAAAATATTTTTTTTCAACATTGGATACAGCACTTACAGCCCATGTAAATCAGCAAAATAAAAGAGGTCAAAATATGCAAAAATAACCCTCATTGCGTTAGTAACGCAGTAGAAATATGGTGGAAAATACTGCAAAACATATTTGCATATAAAGATATTACTTAAGTTTGAATCTTTAATTGTTGTTATAAATCAAAGTACTTTTCTCTTGTTTGATTTTCTTTGAAATATTTTGATTTCATCTGGAGGCGTGCAGCTTTATTGTAAAATGCAAAAATTTTATAAGCATATGTTTTTAAATAACATTAAATCCAACTCATTTAGAATAGGGTTTGTATCCAGTTTGAGTAACCTTGTTGTACTTACATGTATTAAGTAAAAGGTAGATAGCCGTCAAATATTCGTTCAACTCGTATGATTCTTGTACAATATATGTTGGAAAAAATAATAGGCGCTTTATGAAGCGTATATTTTTACAATATGCACACAATTAGATTTCAAAATACGCCGAAACGTCATGAGCCATATTGACGTTGTCAGAAAAATGACTTCATTTATATCACATTTATCTGTGCAATCACAAATCATATGTCACTTGTAAAAAGAAAAAACTCGCGTTAAAATTAATGCCGTCGGAACGTCACGAAAATTCGATTAATAAGAAATTGGTGTCAATAGTAAGTCGAGAAACTGTCTAAAACATAAAAGGGATAATGGAAAAATGAAAAGGTTAAGGTAGCCACAGCACAGTTTTTTTATTATTAAAATAACTGATTAAAAAAGGGTATTGAGAAATTGAAAAAAAAAAAGAAAAATAAGGGAGAGGCAGAAAGAAGAACTTTTCAAGGACGTTTGGTGACGTCAATTGCCGAGAGCGACGTTGAAAAAGTGACAGGCGATTGACTGCGGACATTATAAACTATGTTCGACAGTAGCTACGGGACTGTGTAATCAACTCTTACTAAAGGAATTTAAAAAATAAATATTTAATGCAATTATTATCACAATGGCCATAGCTTTTGGCCAGAATCGGTCGTGATGGATTTC